CACTTCCGCATTGCCAGCGCTGGCCAGAATGCCTGGCCTGGGCTGCCTCACTTCCTTTATGGAAGTGGCAGCCTGCTGGATGCTGCGTGTGGCCTGGCTGGAAGCTTCCAGTAGCTTCCGGTTGGGCCTCAGACCCTGTGCCCAGGCCGAGACTTACAGTTGAGGGCCTGGGCCGTTTACAGTTGGGCGCGGCCTGAGTCTCCGGACTTGGGCTGTTAGCTGCATCTGCGCAGGGCCCCCAGGTAGATGCGTCGGCTGTACTGCTTTTCCAAAGGCTGATGGCCTGCTTCTCAATGTATCGGCCCTGCTTTGTGTGTAGGTGCCCAGGCACAACTTTCGTGGCCTGGGCCAACTGTACAATGCAGCTTAGTGAGGCTCGCGCGTTCACTCAACCAACTGACGCGCTGCAAGAGCCTGAATACCCACATATGGAAATGTCGAATTTTGGCCTGTGGCGAATATTCAGGCCCGCCTTCACTTAGGGCGGGCACTTGGCTTGCTGGGGCCTTAGCCCAGAATATGCGATGTCTGATAGGGCCCCTTTTGGGCTTGTTCCTCACATATACTGTTTTTGAACTTTTGTACGGATTGTCAGATTCAGAAAAAAAACAGAAAAACGCTATTTGAATTTTGAAAAAGAAAAATATTAAAAGTGTATCCTGCTGTGTATGGGAAATGATCGAGGGAAAAAAAAAAAGGGCGAAAAAAAAGATCGAAAAATATAAGGGGAAAAAGAGAAACTGCTTGAGAGATGGCAACCGTGACATTGTATTTTTTTTTCTTTTTCGATTATATTTTCTCACATATATTTTAAATTTTAATTTTGTATTCACTACCCATGGGTCATGGAAGAGAGTCTGTTATTAATTATTATGAAATGCAATATTGAATTTTGAGAGAACGACAATTAAAAAACAACAACAACAACAACAACAACAACAACAAAGAAAATAGTCTGTTACCCATAGGCATTGACCAACCACCTCCTTCCTCCCAATACCTATGGGGACTGAAGATCAGGACACAGACCAGAGAGAGAGAGAGAGAGAGAGAGAGAGAGAGAGAGAGAGAGAGAGAGAGAGAGAGAGAGAGAGAGAGAGAGAGAGAGAGAGGAGGAGAGTTGATGCTGCTGGCCTGTATCATCAGGTGGTAAACATCATCCATCTGTAGTTGTGCATGTGCCTTTGTTTATGATGCAGAGTAAACGCAACGCCTTGATTAAGCAGCAGCAGGCAAATGCTCCTCATCCCTTGGGGGAAAGCGCGCTAAGTCCTTATCGCGATCGACAGCCGCCGTCAGTTGAAGAGAAGATGAAATACTTTCGGGATCTGAGCGTGCAGGTCAGTTCCAAATCTTGCGGCTTGATTATACACCTTCCCTGTCAATTGCATGGGTCCTGGAGACCATCTCACGCAAGTGTGTACATGCCATGCATCGTTCTCCCACACACAACGAACAGTAGTCTGATAAWAGGTAGAGAAGATGAGAACCGAGTTTCACAGCTTATATTATCAAAAATATGGATACAAAGTGTTTCAAAGTTTCCCTGAGTCCAGCGCTCATCAGCGCAACACCAATATCTTGCCAACTCATCAATATGCCTTCCAGTGAATCAGTGCTACCCCTGCAGATA